GTTTTTGCTATTTGTTTGATTAGACACAGGTCTGTCTTGAACAAATAACACAATTCATTCCGCATAGCAAGCAATAAAAGGTACCTGCCAGCTGTATGACAACATGTAAATTGATTCAAAAGAGAAAACCAATAGTCGATTTAGTATGGTAGACAGCAACCTACGATAACCACTAGCTCCTGGCACATATTGAATGTGGTAGGTTTAAATGTAAATAATTTGACCGCTCCAGCCCTCCAACTAACCTAAGACACTTAACATGATGCAACATATCATCTTTGGCCAACATTACGACATCTAACATTCAACTCTGGAGAATTGTACAATACTGTAACTAGAACAAAACAGAACAAGAACATGTTCCTCCATATGATGGGCATGATAAGACATGTTGGATGTTGCCATCAATGCTACCAATAACATGATATTGTAATAACTGGGCAACCAATCACAGCACCTGAAATTTTCGGGTTACTGCTCGAGACCATTTAACTCCTCTGTGTTTTGATGTGTTTAAAATGCATGAGTGATCATTGTCAAACAGCACCCCATCAGTTAGTTAAACCAATGTAGGGTTTTATCCGATATGGACATGTAGCGCTTGTCGAGTCAAAAATAAATAATATTGTTAACGAATGTGTTCCCAAAGTATGTTTATAAACTGTAGTGTTTAATCGGCGACACTGTATAAGACCAGGTTTCGTCTCGGTTTCGTGCTTAGACGCCGTTCAAGACAAATTTAGAGCCAAGAGCAAAAGTATGTTAAAACAGTTATGGCGAACGATGGCATGTTGAATAATTAATAACATACTTCGCGGAGCACAGCTTGATACAACCACAGAGGCCGAACTCTGATTCGTCGAGACAAGTGTGGACACTACATGAATTTCAAGCTTGAAACGGCTTTGAATTTGGATTGTGATTATATATTTGACATAGAAATGGTTACTGACACAGAATGAAAGTGGTCAAATAACTGAAAAATTTGAAATTGGACTTTAACCTATTATGGTCCGATATCCAAAATCTAAATACACGGTTAGATTCAGCATATTCAAGTTCACCAAGAAATTAGTTGATAATTTATCAATGGACATCATAAGCTAAGTTTTAAAAAGCTCCACAAAGGAATTTAGTTTAAGCTGTAATTGATAGGAAACCTTATAATTAATTAATTAATTATGTTTAGGTGTTTGAATATTGCTACAAGTGGGGTACAGATGAATGTGTATGATATTTGTCATTAGTAAATGATTGAGGTTTTTAAACCTATTGGGATTTTGGTTATGTTAAAGGAGAGGAAATTCATTTTTCTTGCCATTGTTAAACTGTTAGTATTTAGAAATTAATACTGATAATTTAGCAATTTTAGGAATGAATAATTTAGTATAAATAAAATGCAGAATAAAATTATATCTAAGTTAAAAGGATAATACAATTATATTATAATGAAAGGAAGATTTTTTATTTTTTGTGCAAAAAAAGATAATAATATGGGATAAATTTGTGCCACACAAAGTTAATTTTTGTACCCTTTGGACCCTGACGTAGACCAATTTGAAAAATGGGCCCAAAATCAAAATTCGAATTACACGATAAGATTAAGCATATCAAAGATTATTCAAACCCTAGCGGATACGGCCATAACCACCAAATTAAATCCAACCTTCCTTTTATGGTATGGAACCTTGTGGTAAAATTTTCATACAATCCATTCATTTATACTAAAGTCATTGTCCGGAAACCAGAAAAATGTTTGCTTTTGGCCCCTTTTTGGCCAACAATTCTTAAACGGTTAGGGCTATAACCCCTAAAATAGGGCTATAACCCCTAAACTCAATCCCAAGCTTTCTTTAGTGGTATGAAACCTTGTGGTAGAATTTCATTGAGATCCATACATTTATACTCAAGTTATTGTTTGGAAACGAACTTTCTTCGGAGACGACGACGACATCGATATACCAGTATACGGCCACATTTTTTTTTTGCGGTCGTATAAAAATGTATGTGTCATACATTACCAATGCCAAATGAGGTAAAACGATAACGGGGAACTAAAGTTGAGAAGTTTTCTGACAGACAAAAATGGCTCCACATATCGATTACTCGATGCAAGAGCGAATAGGTTTCTTGGGGTCGCCCCGCTATTCCGACACCCCGTTTGTCCGACACCCATTGGTCTGACACCCCTATAGTCCAACACAAGCTGTAATTGAAAATCTACTTCATACAAAGACAGGAAAAAGAAAGCACTTCCCAACTTGTACATGTATGTAAGAAATACCATTGTCCTATAAATATAAGGCAATCGACAACCTTGCAAAATTTGTGTGTAGAAATACAAAGTGTGACATAGCTCGTTCATTAAAAAACACTACGCTAAAAATTGAATTTAATTGATTGATTGCTGTTTTCTTTACGTCCGGTGTCAAATAGTTTATGCATGTTAAGGACGAAAACAAATTAATGATTAATACAAAAGGTATGTCCTGTAATAAGGAATCTACCGAGATGACGGACGGAGAAATTGGACTGCAACGGGGAAATGAAGGTATATTGGATAGGCATAGAAATTTGGGCTGGCAACACACTGTCATGAAATAGAAGTTCCTTTATAATATATGTTCTAAATACGGAACACTATTTACACTGGAAACAAATATCACTTTATGTGTTCCTGACGGAATAAGTGTATGAATACTATTTGTTCCAAAAGAAACTGGTATTATAGCATCGTTCACAACAAAGTTTCAAAAGGAACTTCTGTGAGGAGGAACACATTTAGGCAAACAAGTGTGGGTACCACCTACGGACCTATCAAAGAGTTGTTGCAAAGTTTCTTAAATTTGAGAGAACGTGCCATTCTCTCTGCATGAGGCATAGGATTTAACTGCCTTATTCAGATTGAATGTGGCTGCGTAATCATACATCCCGCATAACCAAAGGACGCCCCACTTTGACAAGTGGTTAACTTTATAAAAAAAAAAAGTTAACATATTTCTATACCCCAGTCATCCTTGGGGTAAAGAAAATTTGGAATTTTTAAAAAGTTTCTCGTCGTTAAGAAAATGTCCAAACTGCAATATACTCTCTGAAACTGTCAAAAGTAAAACGATTTCATTAACCAAATAAATCTTATGTTATCCAAGCATGTTGGTTTCCGTTTACACTGAACTTGAATTTAAAAATCGAAAATTTCATAAAATAATATATCCATCTGAGGAGTCAAGTCTTTTTCAACTGATTTTATAGTGTGTTCTTATGTTGTACTATTACACCACTGTCCCAGGGTCGGGGGGAGGTTTGGCGCCTTCAAACGAGTTTAACCGCGCCATATTCTGTATGTGCAGGTCCCAAGTCAGGAGCCTGCAATTCAGTGGTTGTCGTTTGTTGCTGTGTAACACATTTGTTTTTCGTTCATTATTTTGTACATAAATTAGGCCGTTAGTTTTCTCGTTTGAATTGTTTAACATTTGTCATTGCAGGGCTTTTTATAGCCGACTATGCGGTATGAGCTTTGCTAATTTTTAAAGGCCGTACGGTGACCTATAGTTGTTAATTTTCGTGGCATTTGGTCTCTTGTGGAGAGTTGTCTCATTGGCAATCATACCACATCATCTTATTTTTATATTTACAGTGAATATTTCTGCTTCCAAATAGATTACCGCTTTTCATTCTGGTCGACCCCTATTACTGGACTGGCCTATTGTATTTATTGTTTATTTGTTCTTATCCTGAACATGCATGAAATATTTGCCACTGGATGTAATGACAAATGTATCTCCTCTTGTGTCTATGTTGTTGAAAAACGACATGTATTCCAGTTATGTTGCTTTCGCTGGGAAATTTGAAAATTTTGACCTGATTGAAACGATAGCTGAGTAAGGTAGTCGTTGATCGGGAAATCAATGCATGCTTCTGATAGAAGAATCATTTAGGAAGGAAATGAGTGCCTTTGTAAGGTATACACTCATATAGAAATATTTTTAATTGTTTTTCATTTACAGAAGGGTAGGCTATTCAAAATGGCAACTTAGATCCCTTTAAATTTAGGGTTTTTCAGTATAGTGATATGGATGGTAAACTGCACATTGCTAGAAAACAAAAAAAAAATATTGATGCCTGATTATAAAAAAAAATGATCTGCTAACCGAGTCTCTCTGCGGCAAACGCGTCAAAACTGAAGTGTATTATTTGGAAGGGAGATAATCATTGAACCAGTTTACCCGCTACTTGAAAAAGAGCAAAATTACAACAGAACACACGTGTTTTGCTCTAATTTCGCTCTTTCTTAAACAATGTTGCCCATATATATAAACTAAACTGGAAATCTTATTCAACTAATGGCATTATACTGCATTAGTTTAGCTCCCATTCTCAAAAAAATAATTTAATAAGAAGTATAAGTTGACTTACAGCACCGTCATTACTTTTTATCGCTAGAGTTATACCAGAAAAACGTGACCGTCTTATTCACTCAAGCCATATTTACACATATAATCGTGTACACAGCAAAGCTTTATTGCAATGAGTTCCCTTTTTTTTTAACTGCGTCATTTTTAACCTGTATCTCTGAGAAACTGTATCTAGAGATATTTAAGCAATTCGCCAAGACTTTTAAAAAAAGTATTTTGTGCTTTTAGATAGTGGTCATAAAAATCTGCTACTTTAGTACTCATACACTGACATAGCTCGCATCACCTGTTCCCACGAAGGACAGTGTCCTCTTCTTGATATTGAACAACCTTTTATTTGGCTTTCTATTATAACAATAAATACATTTTTTTGCTAATAGAATGTCGAACTATTGGGTGTCGAATCAATAGAGTGTCGGACTATTGGGCTGTCGGACCAATGAGGTGTCGGACCAATGGGGTGTCGGAATATCGGGGCTGGGTATCTTACATAGATATACATTGAATACGAAATTACTTGTTTTACAAAATAATTGTACACTTTTATGTATTCCAAACGTTGAACTGAAGGAACACTCAAAGATGTTTAGTTTTAGAATCTATTTTTGGGTTTTTACGTGTGGCAATATTCAACAAGTATGTAATATGATTGAGTTGTATAGCAAAAAATTTATTTTACGTTATCGCATGTAGCAGTGTTCGACAGGTCTGTAGTATGATTGAGTTGTAGAATAATGAATTCAGGTTACGTTTGAACATGTTGTATGATATAGCACTAATAATTGAAATTTACCAATCCATCCCTCCGCAGAGTAATTGTCTAATTAAATATTCGCAAATCAACAAGATTCCCGTCAAACAAAAATCTCTTGATTAACCTCCTATATTGATTCTGGTACTGAAAAAAAGAAAAACACATTGTAGATGGTTAGTTAAAAAATATAACGGAAAACACATGGTAGATGTTCAGTCAAAGAAATAAAACGAAAAATCTTTTCATAGTGACTACTGTGCCAAAATATAGTTTCGTGCAATTTTTTTTTCAAAATTATAATCAAACGTATGGGTCACCGGGCATTTTATAAGTTACAAAATATGCAGAATTTCAGGTTTTGTTACCTTGGATAATGTACATGAAATAAGGAATTTTGTGTGAGTAGAAAGAAAACTAAATGATAAAATTTTAAATATATGCGAAGATTGTTCTAATTATCTGCTGTAAGAAAATAAAAAAAAACAAGAAGGTTCACCAAACTCGTTACATTGCTACATAACAAAATAGGAAAATTCAATGCACATTCCTTTATGAAACTTAATAATCTGAGTTACCTCCCTGATTTAACAAAATTTAGAAATTTGAATTGATGTCATCATAAGATTCAATCATTTAAACTTATTCATTTGAATGAAATTTCTCACTAATCAATTCTACTTCTGTAAGCAATTTTATTTTAAAATATGGACCAACCAAACAAAAAGTAATTTAAATCGCCAAAATATAGTCAAGGTCGTTGTACATTCTGTACTATTAGTTGAATATGAACATTATTACAAACGGGATAGCACATCCTACTTTTTTTAGTGTTGTAGTTTTCCGAGTCCGTAAGTTTAAATACGATCCGGGTAAACTTATCGATTCTTTAAATAAACTTATTCTAAAAGGTTACCTATTCATAGACCTTTGAATATTGTGTTCATCATTATAAATATTTATTTTGTTATCAATAGACGTGTTACAAAAAGGTATATTCTCGACGCTGAGGTTGACAAATTGACGCTGAGGTTGACAAATTGACGCTGAGGTTGACAAATTAGACTTTAAATGTGGATATCGTATCAAAACACAAAAGTGATTTAAAGATTTAAATCACCTGTGTATCAGTTGGATTTTGCATGTGTTTTGACTACCTATTGTACTGATGTCTACGTATATTTTGTCCATGTTGAAACACTGAAAGTGGTGCAAGGGAATGACAGGAAGGAAATGGATCCAGGAGAAAGGAGAGAAAGCCGAGATAAAAGGAGGAGGATTGAGAAAAACAAATCCTCTGTCCTCACTAAAGATTAAAGCTAAATATTATTTTTAACTTTTGCGCTTTCAAATCAATAGAGGTTGACCTTTGCACGTAAAGGGGGGTTTACTCGAGGCTAGATCTTTTGAATTCGTTCCACAAATGGAACCCTGTCTTATTAATTGATATGAGGAATGTCGGCCTTGCGGGAGGGCGGTTTGGCAGTTGGAAGTGCAGACGAGCGGGTAAGGGTATACATTTTGTAAAGCTCCTTCGACAGAATCTAGAGCTTTCAAACTTTGCATACTATGTTATTATGTATAATTTATACATAGAACATGTGTACCTCGTTTTAAGGTAAAAAAGTTATTTACATTTGTGCCATAAAATATATATAATGTTAAAATTGAGACTTTCAATTTTGAATCCGGCTCAAAATTTGCGCTCAGTGTAGCTGTCTGAAATGATTGAAGATTGATCAAACACAAACTTTAAACATAAATCTTTTCTGTTTTACTTTATTTTTAGCCAGAATTTGTTTTGCTAAACTTTTTTAGTAGTATAATTTAAATGAGCTAAGACGTGTGTAGGATAGCTTTTCAACATAAAATCGAAAATCAATGTTTTGACACAGTCCCCACATTTAACGTCTTATTTGTTAACATGAACGTCAAGTATATACCCTTTCGTAACACGTCCAATAAATTAAAACCCAACTAATTAGTATTGTTATATACTTGTGTATTTACGGTCCTACAATCTGTCGATACCTATATTTTGGCATTGCACAAGGCCATCGGTTCCTCTCTGACAGTTAATGACGTCTTTACACTAAAACCATAAGAAGTTGCAAAAGTTCTGAATAATATTTTACTCTTAGATACATGATTTTCTTATTAGTTGGTATTGGCTTTGGACTATATTTCAGGAACTGCGATCACTCCCGTGCTAGCCTGCGTTACTGAATTGAAATAGCGAGTCTATTTTCAGCCGGGATTAAAAGTATTCGTTTAGTAATCTGATGAAGTCACGCGCTGAATGAGGTAGACAGTTTTCTCAGCTTGCAAAAGCCTTCTGTCTAGAGCCGTCCTTGTTTTCTCACTTGGATTTTAATTACTTTCGGACTTTTACCGTCAGCAGCTGACATTTGTTATGGGCCGAGGAATCAGGTAGTTATGCGGAGAGGTAGGCATAAATGTTTTCTGCTCTTTGGTCGGGTTGTTGTCTCTTTGACACATTCCCCATTGCCATTCTCAATTTTATTTATAGAATCTGAAACCGAGGGCAATGACGGAAGGGACATCCGGAAATCCAACTTCCGAAGCAAGGTTGTCGGCTCTCCGAACTTAACCGAAGTCCTGCTGATCGCCGAGTCTATGAGCTTCGGTCCTTGCTTGGAAGTTGCCGGAAATTATTTAGTGTTCGTTATCATTTACTAACCCAAAATGAACAATCGTTAGGGAGGATAACAAACTACAGCTTGGATACTAGTATTATCTTTCACGAACCATATTAATTGAATTGATCTGGAAGATGGAGAAGCAAGACACAAAAACAGGTCTCAACATGATACACTTACTGTAAATCGTTGGCAGTAATCATCCCTCAGCCATCCCTCTAGATCCGTATACACTTTAGCTGGTATACTTTTGTCGTAGAGAGCGGTGCAAAAGTTACAAAAACTATTCCAAAACGAGGTATAAATCTTAAAATGGTCTCTCCATTTAAAATAACTATGAAATAACGTACTATTCCGACTAACTTGAGTAAGATATTCGGCGAGACTTTTTATATTTGGAAAATCATAAACATTAATATATGAATGAGGAGGGACAGGTACATGTCGTTGAGCTGTTTTCCAATTGACTACTGGAATGATTCCTTTAGAAATAGTATCCCAGTATTTCTCTGTAACATAATCTCTACAATTACTATCTTCAAAAGCCAGACGAAATCTGTATCGTCTCAAAGTGTTCGGAGGTAAGCATGAATTATGTTTTATTTCACATTTCAAATTCCCACATTCACCGTAATAATCGACATTGATGTGCTGACTTAGTTCATTGATTAGTCTGTAACGCTCGGCATCATCGGCACAACGGCTTACAAATGTGTAAGCCATCTTGTCTCTGTGTTGTGCTGGGTATATTGTTGGATTGATACGCGAGACATTCGGAAGTAGTTCATTCGGAATTGGTTCATACATCCCGTATGGTGAAAACACAGTAGAATGTCTCCTGTATGAAATAGTCCAGTTAAATACGTTTGCCCATGGTGTGAAACTCTCTTGCACAAAAACATTAGGTTCATTTATGAATAAAGCCCACACCTGGGAAAGAAGTCTGTTAGTAGGTAAATCGTTCAGAAACAAATCTTTGTCTGTAAAATGAAATAGCACTGCATCGCTTTGTGATAAATCTTCTATATTCTTTGTAATGATACATTGCTTCGGACAGTGTTGTGTATGTAATGGTATTGTATGAAACCATTCGTATGTTTCAAAGTACTTAGTCCATAGCAGTATAACTTTATTTGTTTTATCGGGTCCGAACTGTCGGTCTGGAAATATGTTCACATACGGTTGATATGTGTTGGATAATAGTCCATAGTGAGGAATTGGCCAGAGAGATTTGTCGTTATCCATATAGTACATTGTCACTAGAACTGTTATGGTAATCGATAAGATAATGTAATACACATACTTCCATCTCGTTTTGTATCTTCTCTGTAAAAGAGGACATGGCATTCTGTAACAGAAAAAAAATCATCGCTGTTATCTACTTTCACTTGGTTTTTTTTATTCATTGTTTTTTCTCTCAACTTTCTCTCTTTTTCATTAACACTGTAATGAAAAATTTAAAAGTATAAACTAGATTTCGCTTGTAGAAGAATATATATTTTTGATATTAAATAGCATATTTAGTTAATCTACTCATCGAGATTAAAATTAGTTAAATAGGGAAACATTTTCTGAAACAGAATAAAACCATGGCTATGATCTACTTTCTTTTATTTTTTATACATTATATTTCTCTTAACTTTCTTACTTTTTCATTAACACTGTATTGAAAAACGTAAGTACATGCAACATGTAGCTTGTCACAATATTATTTTTGTAGTATTAGATAGCATATTTGTTGATATATCGATCGATATAAAAAAGTATTTAACAGGAAAACATTTTTTTGAAATGGTAGACACCTATCTAATAATTCTATATTTTCACTTAACTTCCTCACGTAAGTAGAAATTATCGCCTGTCACAGTAGAAGCTATCGCCTGTAACAGTTGAATCTATCACCTGTCACAGTAGAAGAAATCGCCTGTCACAGTAGAAGTTATTGCCAGTCACAGTAGTAGCTATCGCCTGTCACATTAGGAGTATACCGCCTGTCACAGTATATGATATCGTCTGTCACAGTAGAGGCTATCGCCTGATACAGTAGAAGCTATCGCTAGTCACAATAGAAGATATTGCCTTTTACAGTAGAGGTTATCGCCTGTCACAATAAACGATATCGCCTGTTACATTAGGAGTTATTGCCAGTCACACTAGAAAATATCGCCTGTCACAGTAGAGTATATCACCTGTCGCAGTAGAGGCTATAGCCTGACGATTGAATCTATCGCCTGTCACAGTAGAATCTATCGCCTGTCACAGTAGAATCTATCGCCTGTCACAGTTGAATCTATCGACAGTCACAGTAGAAGCTATCGCATGTCATATTAGAACTTATCGCCAGTCACAGTAGAAGCTTTTGCCTGTCCCAGTAGAGTATATCGCCTGTCACAGTAAATGCTATCGCCTGCACAGTAGAAGTTATCGCCTGTCACAGTAGATGCTATAGCCTGTCACAGTATAAGTTGTAGCCTGTCACAGCAGAAGATATCGCCTGTCACACTAACAACTGTCGTCTGTCACAGTAGAAGCTATCGCCAGTCACATATCTGAGGGGCGTCATTATGCAGATGCAGTAATACTTTCAGAATATGTTATATAGTTATATGGATTTGGAATGATATCTTAATTGCGTGTATTTTTCTGTCATTTATATTTAACACTTCTATTTAGATACGTAGACATTATTTGAAAAGCTAGAAATCAATCTGATGGGAAAATATTAAGTGTAAAACTATATTTCTTGATAACGTTTATGTATTAGATATTAGAAATCAAATATTTCATTATTCCAATCAGGGTCCTACATGGGGCATTTACAATTAAAAGTATGATAATATAAGAAACAAACATGAGACATTGTACAGTATATAACGTGACAGATATTTGAATAGACAAATGAAAATAGCACTAATAACAAAAATACATTAAAAGTACTCTTGAGTATTTTATTATTATTATTATTATTATTATTATTATTATTATTTCTATGTCCAGCAGTGCACCTCGTGTTCACATCAGCACAATTATCGTTCAAGATTTATAAAACTAAGATATATAGTTTGTTCATCTGCTGGAGACACCAAGGGACTATGATGATGGATATACTGTTGTATACAATAGCTGCAACAGCAATCTTCCTCGTGTCAAAAGCAGATGAACAATAAAAAATATTATCTATAAAGATGGAAATTTGTTCATCTGCAGGAGACACCAAGGGACGGTGCTCTAGGATATACTGTTGGATTGCGATAGGCAATAACAGCCATCCTCCCCGTGTCAGAAGCAGATGAACAAAAAAAAAGAGAAACTGAATCCGGTCAATTAACAAAAAGTTTTTTTAAATAACAACAATTGCTAATTATGCGAAACATGTCATATGAATCTGCTATTTGTAGTGTTTAACCAGGAATATACACAACTCTTTTAATAAATGCGAGACAGCAGCCATAGCAATTTATCTTGAGAATTTAAGTTAATGAAATTGGGACAGGATTCCGAAATAATGTGATATAAATTGTGTCTGTCTTCGTTATATTTTGTGCAATAAAAGAGAAAATGAACTTCATCTTCAATATTACCAGAGTTACACTGCTGACATAGTCTTAGGTGTGGAGGAGTACCCTGGTATCGTCCTATTTCAATCTGCAAATGGTGAGACGACACCCTAAATTTTGTTAATGATCTAAGCTCAAAACTGTTCATGATATTTAGATACTTTTCGAAACAATAATGACTCTTAAATTTTACGTAAGTGCGGAGCTTCCCTTCTGAATTCTTGGTCAGTTGATCCTTCCAAATTTTTATACACGTCTCTTTCAATATTTTCCTGATAGTATTTTTTGAAATATTTTTCCCATCATTTAGGTTTGCAAACCCAGGAAGAGTTTTTAAAATTTGTTGGAGAGAGCAATACCATGACAATTTATGCTGAGAAAATAAAGTTTTTGAATGCTGGTATGCATCTTGTAATAAAGGAAATGAGTCTTAATTTTCTAGGATAAGCCAACAATTCAAAATAGATTTGACTAAGTCAAAGTACAGTGGAAACCGACGAAGTTCAGATAAGGCTGCAAAATTTGTGTTTTTTTTTTGTGCACACGAATTGATACAAATTGAGGGTGTTAGCATGAATGGGTGTATCTAGTTTACACCACTTATATCATTTTCAAAGCAGAATGATAGTTTTCAATAATTTAAAATTGAAACGCTGCCCCCCTGGTGCTAGAGTCGGCCACCAGAGAACACAGAGTCACAAAGAAAAAGAGAGTAAAATTATCTATAAAGTGTAAGGTTTGACGTCCACTGTTTACCGTCGGACCAAAACACGTTACAGAAAGGGAAAACGTATACTTGTGTTTATATATATATTCTCAGTTGTGAAATAAAATATCTGAATAAAATAAAGTTTCATATTTTATTAATATCAAAAATAATCCTCGACGGAGAGAATGGGTCTTGCCGGCTCTCTCACTGGTCTGGCCAGGTCCCCAGTAATGGTTGGTCTTACATATACAAACAAAACTAGTCTATAATTCAACAGTCAAGTAACAAGGTTGTCACTTATTTAGCATCTTTCTATAATCTCAATTTAAGGATATTACACCCTACTACATTACAGAAGACAACAACTTAGTATAACAAATTAAATGACATATTAATCATGTCGGAACCGCCAACAGAGCACTTAATGTGCACCTTCAATATCACTTCAATAGCACCGTCACCGTCACCGGTACCGACAACCGTATTTAGCAACGTCACCGTCACACACAACCGTATTTAGCACCATCACCGGCACCGACAATCTTAAATTAAAACAAAGTTAACTTTCAACGCCTGTCTGTATTTCTCAGACATATTCCAGCTTCTATTAAAGTTTGTCACTTCCCATTCTTAGTCAAACCAACACTCCCCCGGTTCTGTTGTTGCTTTTGCTTTTATACTTCCGACTGACCAATGACAGAGCTTGTTACATATTGTTTACCAATCGGCAACCATGGATCACATAAGGGAAATTCCCGTACTGTTGATATTGTTTGTAAACATGGTCCTCATGGATTGATCTTCATCAATAAAGATGGGTTTTGACTTTAAATTTATTAGTAGATCATTAGAAGAGTTTTATTTGAGTTTATAGTCTAACAAGGTAATCACCGCGAAAATATGGAATCAGGACGTGAAATACAACTTCCTAAGAGAGGGACGAAAGATACCAGAGGGACAGCCAAACTCATAGACCGAAATCAAACTGACAACGCCATGGCCAAAAATAAAAAGACAAACAGACAAATAATAGTACAGATGGCACAACATACACAAATCTGTCGTATACTGGGTGAACCCCATTCCGGTGGTCAAAATGTTAATCTTCATATCCAACTGCCTGTCGAACTAGACGGAACAAATATGATTCAAATAATTAAAATTCAGATATTTAGCTCTTCAATGATGCATAATATGTTACCCATTTGTCTAGTTTCATAAGTTTAATAAATGATTGAAAATCGGCGATCATCATCCGCCATTGTTTTTCTTATTAACCTCTTTCCGGTGCAAAGGTAAACTATAGTATGGAGGACAACTAGGAACACTAATGCACCCTATTTTGTACATCAAATAACGCTAATATTCTAGTAAATAAGTACAGATCAGTAAAACATTATTTTATTTAGGACAATTTATATTTGACAAGATGAAAAGTTTTGAAAAATTCAAATGTGCAAGAATTTTTTTTAAAGATGCAATAAAAAAGTTTTATTTTGTTATTTTTTTTTTTACTTCTTTTGTGAAAATATTTAAAATAATTTTATTTTGATGTCAATAGGGGAAAAATGATTTCACAAATTTTCACTATTTGAAAAATTACTTTAACGGAATACATGAATAATTACATGATTATTAAAAGTTCTAAAACTATTGTTTGTGTGTTTGAAATCAGAATAACAGTTCTTGGAATAGTGTTCTGTGTAACGGTTCACTGTGCTTTACAGTGGTGACAAAAGAATGTATCCCCTCTCCTCAAAACCTTAACATCACTATAGAATTGGAGATGTGTCCAGTGACGACAGTTATCATTGTCACAGTGTGCCCATTTTACAAAAACAATTCCTGCTAATTGTCGAATCTCTGAGGGAGATTTCTTGGTACAAACGCAGCAAGTTTCACAGTCATCATCATCGGTCAGATCACTGTCACTTAGTGAATTATCAAGACATATGGGTCCTCCTTTATCTTTGTTCAAACCAGATGTACCAAGACCTGCATTAACATCATTCTCTGATAATTTCAGTTTTAACCCTCTCAGTTGAACTTTTTCTTTTTAAGGGTGCCATCTTTTTAGTATCT